AAAAAAAAAAAAAGATTCTCCCACTTCCTCTGCTCCCTGCCCCGCCCCCATGTACACACGCTCTAAGAAAATAAAAATGAACAAAAACAAAACGTATACTAAGAAACAGTTCAAAACATATACAAAAGAAGATGGGACTGTATAATAAATCCCCCATATACTCATAATCTGGATCCCACAATTATCAATGCAATTTTGTCTCATCTATACTCCTACCCACCCCTCCTATACAATGATTATTTTGAAAGAAACCCAGATACTACATCACTTCATGAGAACAGTAAAGAGTATTATAATCTAAAGGGGGGAAAAAAAGTATTCTAATCTGTAGTGGTTGGGATTATGGGTTATTTTTATTTTTCTTATTAATACTTTCCTGTACTCTTTAATGTACTTAGAATGAGTATATTAATAAGAGTCAGTACAATATAGTAAATTAAGAGCACAGGCTCTTAAATTAGATGCTTAGGTTCAAATCTACCACTTAGCAGCTAGATGACCTTGGGCTAGAACCTCGCTACCTCAGGATAAAAGAGTGACTATCTCACAGGGATGAGACGTGAAATGCTACATGTAAAGTGCTTGGAACGTGGCTAGGCATACAGTGCTAAATAAAGACTGTTATTATTACTTAATAATTTGGGGGGAAAATGTGAGTTAAAAAAATTCTTTAAGTCCTATACAAAAGATATTCCACACAAACACAAGAGATGCCAGTATAACTGTGTATAATATGGAGGAGGTTGGGAGGAGGTGTTTAAATATTATCCCCCTCATTCAATTCAGAAATAAAGTAATCCTGTTGATTCTAGTAGCAACAGAGGTTAAAGTGTTTGTGGTGTTGTTCCATTATGAAGTACATCACAACCCTTTAGTATAGTAGAAAGACAACCAAGACTATATACCTATTCTAGGGCTCCTGGCCTTCGGTACAACAGAGATATACAAAGAATTATTCAGCTGGTTAATTAAATTACCTGCACCAACACTGACCCTGTTAGATAAACATGTCTTTAAACCAGAAAAAACTCTTCTCTTTTTGCTGTGATTCTCTGATTTTGGTCAATAATACAGACCATCTCAGAGGCTAAAATAAAATGTTATTATGCAGCACCTCCATACCAAAAAGGAAATTAAACTACTAAATTACCATCCCTTTGTTTAGCAAACAGAACCGTTTTCTAGTTGTCAAGGCAACGGCTACCTCACAGTTACCCAGCATTGCTTAAACAATTATTTTTCTAGTCAATCTACCAAATGCCCTAACTGGCACCTAAAAACCATTGAATTCCATGGGAATACTAAAAAGCATAAGCGATTTTTAAATTAGCTATTGGTGGATAATAACCATTTAAGAAGCCAAAATGCCAGTGAAACATACAAGTGCCCAAAGGGATCAACAGTAATTTCTAATGTGCCTTGGGCTGCAGTACACCAAATGTTTGAAGTAAGCTTCAAAAAGACAATAGTTGAATCAATTTTCCAAACGGCTGACTAATGTTGACACTGCCTAGGAAATATTCAGTTATTCAAGATCTATTTTTTTAAAAAAGTAAAACATGCCTGATGCCATTTTATTGAGGTAGTTTCTTCAGAAGGGTAAGCATTCAAACTGGCTGTGGCAGTGCCGATGCAGCCAGGAGAAACAGAGATTTGATGCTCCAACCATCAGTAAATAAATGTACTTAAACACATAGTGTAACAATAAATCTAGGAAAATGACCTTTTGTATATGACAATCTCAAAGAGGCATTAAAACAATAGCAGAGATAATTCCAACAGATGAATGAAAAATACACCTATATGCCAAAGGGTATGTCATTTAAAAACAAAAATGCACAATTTTTTAGGACATAAAAAAAACTAAGTACATTGAAAAAATAAAGAAAACCGTGTAATCTAACTTTAAAATCTTCTCTGGGACCATTTCCTCTCTTCCTTTTCATGTGGTGCTAAGGACATGGGGTAGTGAGGGGAAAGGTTTGGGGAGGCCCAGAGGGACAGGACAGACGCTGAGTGTACAAGGTAACGAGGAGGCGGTTGTGGGAGTCACATGCAAGCACAGGCTGACCCTGTGGCTAAGGACATGGTGGAAGCTGAGCAGAAACAGGAAATGAGCAACATAATTAAATTTGTTACACTCACCAAATAAGTAAACTGACTGATCAAATAAGTAAATCTACCAAGGATAGTAGGGCCATGTTTCTCACTGCCAGAGAAATGTAAAAGGAGGGAAGGAAAAAGGCTATAAAGAAGTCTAAGGTGGGGTGCCTGGGTGGTGCAGTCGCTTAAGTGTCCAACTCTTGGTTTCAGCTCAGGCTGTGATCTCAGGGTCGTGAGATCCATCCAGTCCTGCACAGGACTCTGCGCTGACGGGGAGCCTGCTTAAGATTCGCTGTCTCTGGGCGGCGCCTGGGTAGCTCAGTCAGTTAAACATCTGCCTTCATCTCAGGTCATGATCCCAGGGTCCTGGGATGGAGTCCGACATCAAGCTCCCTGCTCAGTGGGGAGTCTGCTCCTCCCTCTCCCTCCGCCCCTCCCCCCGCTTGTGTACGCTCTCTCTCTCTCAAATAAATAAAATCTTAAAAAAAAAAAAAAGAAATATGAATTCATGGTTGCATAATACACACATATAGAAAAATGAATAGTTACAGATATGTGTGTATATTATATATATATACACACACATATATTTGTGTGTATGTGCGTGCACATATATATGTACATATATTTTCCTAACTCTGTCCACCTAGAAGGCTCAATAGCAACCGATAGGCCAGTAACAAAAACATACCAATGGCCCATCTCTTGATTTCTAAATCCCATCCTACATTAAAAGAAACCAAAGATCTTTGGAGAAATGGCTGACTTCAAAGTTGGACAGGAAAACTACAAGAAGAATCTGAAACCTCTTGAGCCAGAAAGTAAGGAAATGTTCAACAAATGATGGGAGACATTTCAAAGAGAGACACAGGAGCCAACTGAAGGGGCTCCTACTGGCCAAATGGGGGAAACCAAAATAAATTTGGTTATCCTTGACAGGCATGTCTATGTATGTCAAAACTGACTTAAGATGTATATATTCCACTGTAAGTAAACTGTACCTCAGTTTAAAAACT